TTCTTTGGCAGCCATGAGCAGAGCATTTTTCAGCTGGAGGAGTCAGTGTGAAGAAGCAGTGCTGTGAGTGAACCTATGACAAGCCATCCTGTTTGCAGCACTCTGCCAAAGACACACTAGACGGAAACTGAATCTCCACGATTCACTCATCTTACTCAGCAAGCCATAGACACGGAGTAACATAGTTCAGAGGGAAGCTATTTAACAAAAACTGTGAACACTGACATGAAAAGCAGATGGCAGAGGCAACTCTGCAGATTTACAGAGCTGGAAAAATCGCATCCAAACAGGTGGACATCTTGATCTAGCAAAACCCAAATGTTTGCATCACATGTGACATAGGAGTTTAATGTAGTACAGCGCCACTGTTATTTTGAGAGAAATCACAGTGGAACTTAACCAGCTTGCAAAGGACAAAAAGCAGTCCATCTGTTCTCTCATTGCAGGGCATGTTCCACCTCTCATTTGGCAGACTTGAGAGTGCTCCCATGCTTGTTCTGTGATACACTCTAATTGGCTGTGAATGGCCCCTCGGTTCACTCTGGGAAGCCTTTGATGAGCCTGGAAGACTGGCTGCTTAAGTGGCTTTTGAGTGAAGCTCTTCATGAGACTGAAAGCAGCTCGGCTGCTGTGCCGAGAGATGAACACAGGGTGACACACTAGCAGGACGACAAGGAAGATAAGATGCAGAAGCAAGAGCTTATTAACTGTGCAGTCAAATGTGCCCTTCGTTACAAGAAACAAACATGCCTGCATTCAGAAAGTAGCCAGACCTCTTCAAATATTTTTACATTTTATTTTGCGACCTTGTGCTTTAATCGTTTACATTTATGTTTCTCCTCATCAATCTATATTCAATACCCCTTAATGACGAAGCAAAAAAAGAATTTCCAACATTTTTCTCAAAGGAAAAGGAGAAACTGAATGACCACACTTACAGAGATGATGTGTTGGCTTTTATATATGAAAGGTGCCCAAAAAAAAAAGAAAAAGAAAATTGCTCACCTCCACACTGCTGCACAAACAGTGTGAAGTGGGTCACAACTGTGGTACACACAGTGATACACAGACATCCACTATCTGACACCTCAGTGATGTCACTGGGCTTCCAAAGCTATCCGACCATCTGACATGCAGACTGGACAGACCACCTTAAATCCACCTTAATGTAATATAATCCAAAATTGATGCAATACTTTTCACCTACAAAGTTAAACATGTTTTTTAATTTTCATTTTTTGCAAACCTATTACAATTCAAAATTGAAATTGGTCATTTACAAAAGTATTTAGACCCTTTGCAGTGGCTTCAAAGTGTGGACAGGTGTATTCTGTTCTTCTGTTATTCTTGAGATGTGTCTAGAACACAGGGTTTAGAAAATCACACTGGAGTGAGAGCATGCAAGGAGATCTGATTAACCCTCTGTAGACCTCTGATAATATTGTGGCAAATCACTGATCAGGGCAAGGGTAGAAATCATCTCTGAAGCACTGAGTTCTCCTAGTAGTACAGCGGGATCCATAATTGTGAAATAGGAGGTGTTTGGAACCAAAAAGACTCTTCCTAGATTTCTCTGTCTGGCCAAACTGAGTGTGCAAGAAGGCCCTCTGTTCAGGAAGGTGATCAGCAACTCAAAAGGTCGCTGTAAAAGAACTTCAGTTTGAGGGCTGCAGCTATCGAATATTTTGGTAATCGAGTATTCTATTGAATATTCCATCGATTCATCACCAAGAGGATTTGGAATGTTGCCAGATTTAGCAAGAAAGTCACCAAGTTGGCAACACTGCAGGGGACACATAGCGCACGTTGTGTCACACTAAAAAGAGTCTGTGCGAGATGTGAGCTTTAAATACAAATAAACAAGGCTTCGAGGCAGAGAAAATTCTTCAATCATTTGTTGTAATCAAGGTTGCAGCCCTATTCAGATTTCCTCTGCAAAGATGGAGGAACCTGCCAAAAGGACGATAAAAGCAACACTCAGTCAGGTATGCGACAGTCCACATGGAGTTGCCCAAATTTTAGGGACTGTGAGAGTAAGAAGAAAAAAGGATTCTTTGGTCTGAGGACATACAAATTTAACTCTTTGGGCCGAACTCCGAGCATTATGTCTGACACTGTTTCTCATCGGCTAATATCATCCCTGCAGAGAGCATGATACTGCCACCACCCTGCCTCACCATGGTTTTCACAAGCAGAATAAAGAGAAGGAGGGAAGCTGGTCAAAATCAAGATAAGGATAAATGCATTTAGATAAAGACAGGACATACAGTACCTGATGGAGAGTGCACACAAGCTGAGACTGGGGAAACCCATCAGCATGACAGTGAACCAAAGCATACAGTAAAGACACTGTTGGAGTGGCTTCAGGACCAGTCTTTGACTATCCATGAGTGGTACAGCCAATGCCCAGACTTAAACCACACAGAAGTGTGTAGAGATTTGAAGATTGCAGTTTACAGACACTTCTCATCCAATCTGACAAAGCTTGAGAGGATTTGTCAGGGAGAATGGGATTAACTGTCCAAATCCAGGTGTGCAAAGCTTTTGGAGACTTCCCCAAGAAAACTTGAAGCTGCAGGGCTTCCACAGAGGCTTCTACAAAGTCCTGAATTAAGAATCTAAATATTTTGTAAATGAAAGGCTTCAGTTTTTGATTTTTATTAATTTGTAAAAACAACATATTAGTTGTCGTCACAAGTTCTTGTGTCTCGGTTTCTCAGGGGAAAATAGCTATTTTAGTCAAAAAATCAAATCTACACCACAATAAAGTATAAAATGAGAAGGAATCTTTATACTCTCTGAACTCTCTGCACATAAAAAAATGGGACTCCCACAACTCCAAAGCCATCACACTCACATATCACGTCCTATTGTGTTTAATAGATGTAGAAAAAGCAGATTAGTGTTGCAACCAGTATGAGCACTGGAGACTGACCGTCATCCCCACTTCCTCTGGCTGTCAGCAACCAAGCTGAGAGAGGCTTCATAGTGTGTTAGGTCTCTGCTTCTCAACTAGGCCATTAGAGTAATACAATAAAAATTATCTTTTATATATATATATATATTTTAGACAAAGGCTATTTCATGTCAATTCAAACGTTTTTTTTCCTTTAACTTCCCCACCTCAAAGCTTTTTTTTTTTTTTTTAAATGGGATGATTTTTACGTCCATGTTTTGTCCTCCTCATCAGTGACCTGTTATGGCTCCCCTCTGTCCTCTGTGGGTGTGACGCAAACTTTACATTGCAGCTAAAATCAGCAGCATAAAGACACTAAACAAGTGTGGAGCTGCTGTTCTGTCGCCTCACCTCTATGACTTCATAATAATTAGGAGGCAAGACTCCTCTCTGTATTAAATCAGCACCATGCATTAATTCTAATCAGCAAGTGTAGCCAGGCTTGACCAGCAGGGCCCAAGGGGCTGTAACAACTGTCTGTGCGCGAGTGTGCGAATATGCGTGTGTGTGTGTGTGTGTGTGTGTGTCTGTGTGAGAGACACATACACAAGGCCAGCCATGCTGAACTATGCTCTTCAAGGTTCACTGCAGTTCTCTTGCTGCAGCAAAGCTCTCTGTGCACTTTTTGTCAGAGCAGGTGGTCTCTGACCTTTCCTGCAGTCTCCTGAGCGAACCTGGCTGAGCCGTGGCCTTTTAACAAACACCACCACAAATCACTCCGTGCATATCAGCTGACATTTACTGTCATTACCTTTATCCTACTAGTGCGATTTCCCTTACAAATATGATCCTGTTGTAGATTTTACAATTTTTTAAAAAATGCAATCGGATACTGAAACAACATGTATGCTGCTGAACAGCCTTATAACAGCGTCATCTCAAATATAAAGGTAAAAGATTAGGGGAAAAGAAGAAGAAGAAGAAGTAGAAGAAGAATTCTGAACAAAGTCTCACCCTGCAAGCTGATAAGATTGGTTCCTCTGGTTTGTTACGTATAAAACACTGACTGTCTAAATCTGTGTTCTTGACACTACTTATGTTTCCATGGCATATTTTTATAAGAGTTTTGAATTACTGCTTAAGAGAAAGTTGATGTAAACAGCAAAAATAACTAACTTTATACACTTGGGATGGTTTTAACTTTTAAAGAAAAAAGTTACTGTGCTTCAAGGGAGATGAAAATGATTTTTTTTCCCCCCCAAATAAGTTCTGATGTAGTAAACATTTAACTTACATGAATGATAATCAGCTGTTTCCAATTTTTTTGTTGTGTTCATCTCTAGACAACACGAAACGCACTCTAATACCAGCTGGCATGAAAGAATCACTACATTCACAAATTTTTGTCGCAGATGGCGGAAAGTTAGTTTATTACCTCATTTCAAGGTTGTTTTTTTTATCAGTTTGCACACAACTGGGTTTGTTTGCAGCTTCTTTGTTATAGCCATGTATAATGTAGCCTATAGCACCACCTTCTGATGGCACGACACAACCAAGTTTATTCATTCCAAAGCAGTTACTGGCAACAAACCTAATTCACATTTTCTTCTTTATATTTTTTGAAACATTTCAAAAGTTCTCTTCAAATTTGCTTGACAGTTATATGGAAACATGGCTACTGTCATCAGTAAACTGCAGTGTCAAGATGGAAACGCGCAGTTATTGTGCTGACTGCTTATCTGAATCATGATGTGTCTCCTAGCATATAATAATAAAAAATTTTAAAAAACACCATATGGACATGTTAACAAGGTAAACACGGTTTTAATGATCACTCGTCCTCCAAATCAGGGCAGTAATTAAGCTGTGTAAACTTAGAGCTGATGAAAACCCAACAATTGTTGCTGTTGCTTCACATTAAAAATCTTCCAGCTACCAGCAGGGTGCAACAGTACGACATGGTATGGTTGGCATTGAGACAACAGGGCATGCTAAAACTGGTCTACACAAGAAGATATGGACATATTCTGCACTATTAATGAAAGTAGAAGAAAGCGCAGCAGTGAGCTGCTACAGCTGTGGTACATTTAAAGTGTTTATCTACCTTGGACTTGATGGTCCAGTACTCCTTTGAGCCATATTCCACGTCTTTGAAGGCTGTCAGATAGTCGTAGCTGATGACCACCGTCTGCAGGCAAACAAGACAGTGACATGTAAACAACAGTTCGAAGAAGTTTCTTTACAAACTACTCTATAAACAATCAATAACAGAAGGAAATGTGTTAAAGTTTGGAGGCTCACTATGAGATGATACATTTTCAGCTGTAAAGTCTCAAAATCTTTATAAATAAGAAAGGACTGCGTGATGGGATGGAAGGTGGACAGACTAACAAGTAGAGGACTCAGATATCCAGTCAGCTTTCTGGAGCAGGATTCAATTCTACAATTAATACAGTGGGAAATGAAAAAACCCCAATCATGACTGGGGAGCAGACATGTTTGCTATACAGACTGGATAAAAGACTAAAAGACAAAAAAATATACTTTATTTATGATACAGTGTCTACCACCAGCACCAAGGGTCTGTATCATGTAGCGAGTGAAACTTAAGCCAGGGATATATGTTCTGAAGGTACACAAGGGTCTGCTGATGCAAATTTCATTTGCACTGGGCGTGCTTGGAATACGTAAATGTCGAACTACTGCACATGTATGGGATGAATTCTTCCCAGTAGACTCTTAGAGGAAGAGAACTATGTATCCATGTCTCCTCAGCTGTCCGTGCACACATCAACAAGGGAGTATAATCAAGGCTTTAGTCTGGCTGTCTGTGGTTATCTGTTTCAATTAGCCTAACGCATTTACAGTACTTAAATACAAGCCGCATGATCTGTACCATGAATATAAGACAGGAGATGAAACAGTGATGCCAGTGGGGAAATTAAGTTATTGTGGTAGCAGAATAACATTTACAGCAAGATCAAACAGATGCGGTGTTATCACACAAGAAGAACAGATTGTGAAGCTTTTGAAACACTGAGCATCAGGCTAAAGGCTACAAATAAATGTGTGAATCATCAGGTTTAGCCCGCTATGTTATGGCGGCTTTGGGCACATAACAGACTGGCAGCTCCAGGTGGTTGAGCTCAGAGAAACCAATTACCAACCTGAAGGCTGCTGGTTTAAGGCCAGATAGTGGCATCTGATCCTGAGTGCACAGTTTTGTTTGATTCCTAACAAAATTCATTATAGATAAACTAAAAATAAATTGATGATAAATTAACATTTAGAGCACTTCCAATCCATACACCACTGTAGGGGCATAGGAAGTATATGCCGTGTATGCTAGTCATCTAGTCACTGCTGGTGGTTATGAGGGTCTGTGTGTGTGTGTGTGTGTGTGTGTGTGTGTGTGTGTGTGTGTGTGTGTGTAGGTGTCTCCAAGTATGGTGGAAGTGATTAATACCACTTGCATCCGATTGTCATGAGTTTTGTTTGTTACAGAGAGAGGTGGTGAGTGGGGAGCCGCTCCTTTCTGTTGACCGTTGTCATCTCTTGTCCAGTTTGTTGCCATAACATCGTAACTGAGCTTATGATGATTTCACATGCGAGTAAATTTAAAAAAAATAAAAAATCTTCTAGCGCAGTTATGGTCTCGTGCTCTTGACTGGACGATGCTGGTCGGACAAATCTCCCCACATAGCCCTCTCAGCAGCTAGTTTAGTTTTTTGATAGTCGCTACTACAAGCACCATGCTTTCGATTGTGTGATTTTTCACCTTCACTGGGATCATGTGTGCTTTTACTTGATTTGCTTTTTCCATTGGCTTAACAACATTTTTTTCTTGACTTTCAGTTGTGTCAACAACACACACATTTGGATTGACTGACCCTAGTCAATTTTGTAGAACATAATGGTGTGGCTGCAACTCGTTATAAGTCTATTGATAGGGGGGGGAAAAAACACTCTGGCTTGTTTGTATTTCTTATAATTAAGCACAATCATCTTAGGCAGAGCTAAGCAAAGGAAGCAGGTTCAGCGTTCCCTTCAAAATAGTGATGTGGGATTCGTTTTGGTGGAACATTTGTACTACGGGAGACGAGAACTGCAATTAAGATGGATAATCTACTTTAAAAACTAGCAGGGCTACTTTATGTTATGATCCAAATCATTGGAAAATACGAGGGTAAGTCCACCTCTGCCCATCACTAACATCAGCCTGAAGTCTTCCATGTCATAGGTATGGACAATAAATGGATTAACAATTTGCAGTGGTAAATTATGAAATAGAGCTATATAGCTACATGGATAAAAATAAAAAAAATAATAATAAAAAGAAAAAGGCTGTTTTTACTGAAAAGGATAAAAGTAAAGTGCAAACATCCTGTGCTAGGAAAGTGCCAAGACAGTAAATAGTAGCAGATATTATCAGTAAGTAGCAGTTTCATTTTTATTACTTTAATAGTTGTATCTTTATTTAAAAAAATAAATAAAAAAAGTATTTTTAATGAGTAGCATAAAAGGACCATATCTGTAATTTCATTGCACAATCTTGTGATGATTGATGAGTGTAATTAAACTGAATCTTGATGAGGAAAGACGCAACTTGCACGCAACAGGACAGTAATATCAACAGGCATAATATTTACACATTCTCACAGTCGGTGCATTTTGCAGCTTTTCCATTCTGACTGCTGCAGCATTTGCTGTTTTTAACCACAGATCTGCTTGTGCCTTAATAATAAGGCAGTGATGTTAATAAGCCTGTTAACTTACACATTGCGACAGTTTGCAGTTTACGTCAGCTTTCCCTCCTGCTTTGGCTGCTGTGGTAGTGTTGCTATTAGTCTCTATTATGTTTAAAGTCTTGGTATTTCTCTAATTTTAGTTTGCACTAAATTTATAAAGTATGCCACTCTGAGACCTGGCAATGTTTGTGATTGGTCATCCTTTGCCAACTCTTTCATGTGAATGCGCTCATATCAAGGTCCACAAACTCCAGCGGACTTTCTGAGTTGATAACCATTTTTGTAAGACCACTTGTTCTGACTGTGGTTGTTAGATTTGGTGATGCCAGATAAGGAAAATATACCCAAAGTATGTTAAAGCTGCTCTCACCAGGCCCCTGGTGGGATCTACTGGGATCCAACCACCATGATGATTAACCCCAGCTATACAGACCGTGTCTATCCTAAAACAAAAGTCTCTCAGCTGTGGAGGTGCATCAAACCTACAATCCTCAAAGCAAGATTTTCAGAGCAGAACTGTGGGGTGACTCACGGTGACTGCAGCTCGTCCGAAGCGGATGACACTCAGGTCATTGAGGTCCAGCTGTCTGTTGTAGAGGTAAAACCCTGAGGAGGCAAACACTGCTGTGGCCAGAGAGGAGACTTTAAGGAGTCGACCAGCCATCAGGGGCACTGTAGGAGGAAGACAGAGCAGAAGAAGTAAGTCCTCACCGTGAGTCCACAAGGTGACAGACACAAAGTGTCATGTATAGAATACATACAAAAATAAATAAGAAAGTATAGAAATGTTTCACTGACTGATGAAGGCGATAAAGCAAACTAATATTGTAATCATTTGCTGTGACTCATTCATGAGGTAGGTGGAACCTAACCACAGCAGGAACATGACTACCACAGCATTAATGCTTCTACAATGAGAGCTATGCAGCACACCACAGCAGGTAGCTATTATCCATTTCAGTGGCTAATATTAGCATTTGTAGATTTTGCAGACCCAATAAAAGTTTGCAAGGACAATTCCTGGAGCTCACATCAGACCCCTTTTGCTTCTACATTTTGAGAAGAACATTGCTTTCCAGTAATACAATACAAACTCTTTTACTAATTTATTGGTCAAAAAACATTCAAATTTAGCACACAGACTCTCATTATGGTGATGCACGTTTTTAAACATAGGTTGCTAAAAATCACCAAAATCCCAGAGAATAACACTGAAGACAAGATCTCAGCACCTTCCATGAGTGCTGGTTCCTCTGCAAGCAAGTACAGAAGTTGCAGGTCTTGTCAAGTTAATGATAGCGTTTTCCAACTTATACTGACTAATGTGAAATGTGGATCTCAAAAAGCTGTTTCAGACGTGACTAATGGGCACCTGCCCCACCTTGCCACATTTAAATCACCAACAGGTAGAGTAAATAACACTGATCATGTCATTATAATGGCACCTGTCAAGTGATGGCACATAGTAGGCAGCAAGTGAACTATCAGTTCTTGAACCTGATGTACTAGAAACGTAAAAAAAAAGGGCAGTGTAAGGATCTGAGAGATTTTGAAACAGGCCAGGTTGTGATGGCTAGACGACTGGGTCAGAGCATCTTCTAAACAGCAGGTATTGTGGGATGTTCCCAGCATGCAGCAGTTAGCACCTGCCAAGAGTGCTCCAAGGACTGTTGTTGAAGTGAAGCGGATTTTGAAAATGGTTACACATAGCTTGCGTAAGAGAGGGAGAAAGCTGTGTGAAATGTTCAAAGGAAATGGCAGGCTTATACACAAGTCTACGATCAGATGCCCGATGCTACACTGCAAATGTTAAAGTTCAACACATTTTGTGTAAACAGCATTCCTGTAACAACGAATTATCTTCTGTCTAACATCAGAGGCGGCTGTTAAGCATCTTTGTAATAATGGCTCAAGAGAGTTACCTCTGGAAATTTAATGCCTTTCATACAAAATAATGACTGAACGATGTAAAAAAATCCATCCATTATCTATACACCGCTTAATCCTCACTAGGGTCACAGGGGGGCTGGAGTCTATCCCAGCTGACTTAGGGTGAAGGCAGGGGACACCCTGGACAGGTCGCCAGTCTATCACAGGGCTACACTTAGAGACAGACAACCAAGCACACTCACATTCACACCTACGGAAAATTTAAAATCACCAATTAACCTCAACATGTTTTTGGACCGTGTGCGAGTAAGCTGGAGAACCCGGAGAGAACCCACGCTGCACGGGGAAAACATGCAAACTCCACGCAGAAAAATCCCAGTTCCCCCACTGGGATGCGAACCGGCGACTTTCTTGCTGCGAGGCAACAGTGCTAACCACTGCGCCACCTTGCAGCAACGCAACATTGTCTGTGGAAATTAGTTAGCAGTGTTGCATTTATAAACTTGGTCATTAAGCACCTTCCCATTCGTGCAAACACACTTATATGACACAAAGTGTTGAACACCAACAGACCCACTCTTCACTTCGGCACTCACCTCAAACAGTTGGAAGCAGGTTCTCTTGTAACGTACAACTTTTCCAGCGAGTTCTCCTGACAGGTTCTCAGCAGTGTTCCTGTAAAACCGGTAGCAGGTTCAGGTGACACTCTGGATCACTCTCACATGTGGTGTTGGAGAGCAATGCTACAGAAACGGCGTCTGTGACCTAAACACCGCTTGCATTTGTGTGTTATGAAACGACTGGCTGCGTTTTGTAAGAAACGCGTGTAAGCAGACACACAACCGTGAGACTGTCACGTCCACACCGAGCCTCTGCTGTCACAAACACCAGCTCACACAGACCCCCCTGCCGCCTTACCGGACTGTAGCATGCATGTTGTCGGTCTTCACTTACCGGTTTGATTTTGACCTCTTCGCGAGTTTTCGACGTGAGCGCAAGGGATTCTGGTTAATGTAGTACTAACCGCGACGAAGGCTGCTAGTTTTACATTAGCTATCCTGTCCCCAAGACATTCTGAGACATATGGGCATGCTCATGGAGTCTATCAATAGCACCGGGTGTATATGTAGAAGGAACAGCAGAGTTTGCTTTGATTGTTGCTGTAATGACAGATTTAGAACTACGCTTCCGGTCCATTCACCTTGTGTTCCGGCCCCACCGTGACGTTTGCGCACACGTGTTCAATGCTGCATTTAATGACAGCACGGGACACGGGAATTTCAGGAGTCCTACCAAAACCTGATGGCCAGGAATATGTTGCTCGTTAAAGTTGTGCTTCTGTCCATCTGTAGCTACTCTGATCTGGATCTGTCATGATGCAAAAGCACATATAACTTTATATCTGTGGTGAAAGCACAAGTGTGTCTTCTGCCATGATATTTATGATTACTGGCAATATTACAGTATTTTTTTCCCCTGGTGTTTAGGGGTATGTGTTTGGTATGTCTAATATCGATGTTTATATTTGGAAACGTGATTGTAATTTACATGATTTATAGATTACCTCCTACACAGCCTGCTATTGGCATCAACGCCCGAACACACTTGAACTTGTTCTATGGCACTTCTCAAGATTATTTTCTCCTGACTAGATTCGTGCTTATGTTGAATCCGCTCTCAGATGTACCTCACTTCGGATAAGCCTCTGCTAAATGAAATTGTTGAATTGTAGAAGATTGGTTTTATGTATAAAATTTCAAAAGTACTGAACGAGACACATCAGGTCAGGACTGCACCAGGAGTTCACGTGGTTAACCTTCAGAAATTCTTCCCCCTGGGTCAATACAAAGTTCTGTTCTGCAGCTGTGAGGTGTCCAAGGGAGAACATTGAGCCCAAATGACCTGAACTGTGGAGCAAAGACGTGTGTGCTCCAGTGAGCCACATGCTTCATCACAGAACCATGATTATCCATTGTTTTTGCCCACAACACAACTGTCACCTCCCAACCACCCTACTCAATAAATATGGCGGCCTGTGACTAGTAAAATGAAACTTAAGTTACCATTTTACCACTTTTTAGTAGATTTGGTGCAGATTGCAGTTGGTGCTTGGCATGCTGGCATAGGGATTTCCAGGGAGTGTTGAGTGTTGCAGTAGTGCTGGGAAGGCTGCATCGCTGCACAAGGAAACTACTTTGATGAAGGCCAAAGTCTAATCATATGTAGCTTCTGTTTTTGTTTTGTTTTTTTCCTAAACAGTCTCAGATCATTTTGATTGAACCTTATATATCTTTTTAAATTTGGCTAGAAAAAATGCAGATACTGCACTAGATGAAGACACTAAATGATGCTCCAGAGCAAACCAACCTCCACATCTCCCTATTTAAAGTTATTTAAAAGAACAGTTTATACAGAGGGACAAGTGGTGTCGAAGTTCTTTTTGTAGAGCACACATTTACTTTGCTTTTGTATGTTCAACATTTTTATTTAAGTTGTGCTAAACTTTTCTTTGTTTTAACAGGGTATCTGAACTTTTGCTGCCGGGGTCATCTTGCTGGCTTTGGGCAGAGGATGGTGTCAGAGGAGCACCAGGTTTTTACACCAGAGCAGCTAATCAAACCACACCAAGTACCTGCCACTTCAAGGGGTGGACCAGGTTTAAATATTAATTTATTCATTTGATTTGCTTTGGGTAAGTGGATAGATTTTGGGTTTGTTAATTATTGTTGTTGTGACTAAGCTGACCAACTGTACTGTTTTGTGCTTTTTGTAGTTAGTGTAGGTGTGGGTGTTTTGTTTCCTCTATTGTGTGCAACTGGTCTGATCAGCCAGTACATATATCCCCTGTTGTTTGGTGTTTTTCCAAGTCTGTTATGAGTTTTTTTTTTTTTTTTTTTTTTAAATCAGTGTAGTTTGTTTGCTCTGTTACTGTGTTGCTTATAGCCTTTGTTAAGTTCTGTTCTTTTGACCTCTTTTTTTTTTTTAATTTTATGTTAGGGTGAAATAAAAACCCTACCTTTTGAATTCACCTGCAAGTCCTTGTGATTTGCAGTTCGGTTCCTCACAGTAACGTAGAGTAGTTTACAGTGTTTGACTGAGAGTTGTTGCGCTCAAACTGCAGCACATGTTGAGGGTTCAATGACGAGAGGGGCGGGGACTTCATAGTTCTGTACATTCTTGAGGAAGCAATGGTGTGGAGTTACATCTGAGCCATGAAGTGATTATTTTCATGGGGGAATGAATGAATGAGTGAATGAATAAATAAATAAATAAAAAACTTCTACATATGTAACTTTGAAACTCGGAGATGAGTTTGCAGGGGTTAAATGAATGACAGTAGACTTTAATAAGCACCCATCGGCAGCAGACATTTTAAATACCACTCATTGATTCAGTGGCTACCATTCAACAGACACAGTTAACGCCACACTTCTTTTCTGGTTAACTCAGAAAACTGGCTCTAAATTAGCCTCTCTAACCAAATGTGATTCTAAATTTGTCTCCACATTTACCAACTACTGTTAGTGATGATAACAAACATCACTTGGTTTATACAAGACTTTGGAGGCACTTTCATTTATACACGCTTTCCATCAACAGTACTCAAACACAGTGGAAAGTTCTCAATTCTCCAGAAACCCTGTGCTACATCTACCCACTGCGCTCAGCAAAACTCAGGAACATTCACATTGACATTGTGCTGCAGTCCAACCTGTGCTTCTAAATCCTGCAAAAAATGCAAAGTTACATCCAGATGTTTAAAAAAAACATCCACAGAAACCTTGTGTGTCTCTGTGTTCAATATGGGATGAAATGTGACAGTCTGCATAGCAATAAGCACCTACTGTAGTACTAATAGAATGTAGTGGTTGTCCGCTGTCTGCTTTTAAAATCTGTGCACACTGATGCAAATTCACGATTTGCCTTTACCCTTAATGTGTCTGAGTATGCCAGAGTCCATGTGACGAAAATGTCATCCATAAAGCCTACGAGAATCTCTGCAGACCCTTCTACATGTAGCCCAAACTTCACGTCCATGTGGCGGCAACAACTCAAGTGTGTATGCACAGAATACAGAGGTACAACCGACTGTGTATGTATAGAAGACAGTCCTTCAAGCAGAACAGAAAAGCAGTAAAACAACAACTGCATGCCCATGGGTGTCTGCAGCTGTCAACAAAAAGTGTGATCAAAGCTTTCTCTATCCAGATGCAATACAGATGGAGTAAACACTGGATTGTGCAATTGCATATGATCAAGAGGAACAACCAGTGTTTGAACTTGTTGAAATACAGTATGTTAAGATAAGTGAGGCGCTCATACATTGTGCTGTGACTTTGTTGCTAATGCACAATGTGTCATGTTCATCCAGATGACCCCTCAGAAAATCATCAAATCCATTTAAGAAAAACTTGCTCACTTACCTCTACAGGTAGAAGTGACAAGTACAATATATATATACAGATAGATAAGCTGCTCTTTTCCACACTTAACATAACTGTAATAGACCGTCTCTATCTGCAAATATGTGCTTAGTCCAGACTGAAGTCCGACACTGGCTTCTATGCCTCAGCCTTTCCCAGAAGTTCACTTTCATAGTTTGTTAGGAGACATGCAACAGTATATAGCTGGTTAATGTTGTGTAAAAGCTGTAGTGGGATCTCTGTGTCAAAGAACCCGTGATCCTTCACTCTGCCTATGAGATGCTCTACGTGCGCACTGAGGCGTGCAATGGCCTGAGTCTCCCTGACATCACAGGCAGACATCTGGGACTTGAGAGAGAGAAATGGCAGCATATAGATTTCACACAGTGCAAAGTCATCAACCAGAAAACCTTGGTCAACCATGATGGCCATCCCAGGTCTCAACAGGGACAGAATTCCAGACTTTTGTATCAAGTGGTCGTTACTGACAGATTCAGCATACAGCTGAGAGATGAAGGTGACAGCTCCATGTGGAGCAACTCCAAACAGTCCTTTGAGTGTACAGTGGGTAGCGAGCTCTTCACTTTCAAGGAGAGATGAGGAAGGACTCTGGTACCTCAGCTCTGTGCAGTTCAGAATGACAGCAGTGTCTGCATAGTCCTCAAACTCTGCTGGTAAATGTTCCGTTATTTTCTTATTTGGTATCCAGATGTTTATTGATCCCAGGACAGTGTACAAAAAGTTACTCCATGTTGTGATGATCTGACTGACGGTGGATTGCTGGATTCCAAATCTGTCAGCAAGGTCCTTTAGTTTTGAACCCAGCGCTAGATAGTTGAGAAGCAAAAACATCTCATCAATGGGCTGCAGAGAAGGAACCTGTTCAAAACAAAATTAGAAAAGTTACGAAACTTACTTACCAAGCCCTTCAATTCAATTAAGTGACCGGGTTTAGGAGTAGCAACAAGCTTATTATTGTCCTGTTTTTTTTTTTTTCATCAAATGTACCTTTTTTTTTTGCTTAATTTCACACAGATTTATATCAAACACCATGTAAATCAAAAACATCCTACCATTCAAAACAATACTATATCTCATGTTATTGGTATATTTTAAGAATGACGGTGCTTTAAAAGAAGCTGTATCCCTCATGAGTTGCTTCGATGTGCAACAGCCAGACGGTGTGTGAGCAGCACTCTCAACACACTCTGGGCATGAGATAGATAGATACAGCAAAATTTCTGTGAAAATTGCAACTACAGTACATTTTCTTCTCTCATAAACACACTGTAGTTGTCATAGTGACAGAACAAGAGACATGGTTGCAAATACACTTGCTGACCGTCATGAGGAAAAACATGGCATTCTTTTGCTTACAGCCAGGAGGTCAGGGTCGGAACGACTTGTTGAAAGAATTCAAAGAGCAACAAGTTAGTAAATGTGATAGATTTTGAACCATCTCCTCAAATAAATGTCCAGTGAGGTTGATTCATTTTGTGACAAGCCAGGTGTTTTCACCATCACAGTTTGACAAGGTAATCAAGGGTAACAGCAAAATGTAAATTTGGTTTTATCTTTTTAGCCAACTCACTAATGTGGCAAAGCCCTCTATAAGCAAATGCAACATTCACACTGGTAACATCAACTCGTGTTCCTGCAAGTTTCTGAAAATCACATGGATGCACTTCAACAACACCAGCTGTGAATGATAGACTGAACTCTTGCAGAAAGAGTGAAAGTGGTTGATTTAAAGGTACACTAAAGCACTCCTGCACTTATCTTTGCAAGAAGTGACCTTTCTCTAACACAGCAGCATGTTGTGTAATGGTTGCATATTAAAATGTATGAATACAGCACGTTAGCGCAACTCCCTCCTGCTGTTTCATGGCTTCTTTTGACGTCCTCCACTGCTTTGCGTTGACATTTTTAAAATGGTTTTCTTTTCTTATTTAATAGGAAAAACAACTAATTTTAGACTCTGTGTTCTGACATCTATCATTCTGTTACTTTTCCTGATGCTGTAGGTTATAGCTGTGGTATTGCTTCAGTATGAATAGATAATAACAGTCATACTTTAGTTGTCATGACAACTCAATTCATTTAAAGAGGGACATGGTCTGTTGTCTGGTTTATTAGGACTTTATAGTCTCTGTAAGGTACTTCAGACTGCATTATTGCATGACATAAAGTTATTCATTAAGTTAGATTGTCAGTGTTTCAGTGTTTACTTGTGCTGTATGGTTCCTAAAAATCCTTCTATGAAATGAAATAAATACAGCTTACTTACAGCAGGGACACTTGTCTCTGTGAGGACGTCTCTCTGTGTGTTCTTCATGCTGACCACAAGCGGCACCAGATGCTCGATGGATGCCCAGAAGCCCATGAGGAGCTCATAGGATGCAAACCTGAACACATTCCGCGTAAGTGAACATTCAACCTTCATTTCCAATAAAACTTTACACATGTGGTTATTTAATAACTTTCAGTGTCAGTATGAACTTCACAGCTTACCTTGTGAAAAACCGTATGTCCTCGTCTGAGCCAGCAAACCTCTGGAGGCCGAACCGCTGCTGTATCCGCTGCTTCGGCCGCAGAACTACTTCGGGGTCCGGGACCAGGGCGTAGTTGTGCTCCGTTAAGAAAGCCTCCAGGTCTTCGACCGCTCCGTCCGCCTCCACGCTCCGAGGAACACGGTATTGGGTCCAGTCAAAGAGCCCCGGAACAGCTCGCGGCTTCAGCGGGCGTCGTTCTCCTTCAGGCCCGGGCTCCTGGAAGTCCTGTTTGTTGAAGTGCCGGTCATACACTAGGCTAACGGAGAACTTGTCCTGCGGACAGACTCGATCCATTTTCGCCTAAGCTCCGGGTCAGGGGGATGTTTGTGAAAACCAAGTGTTTTGTTGTACTTGCTGGACGAGTGGCACAAAGGCACGCAGCAGTGGTCACATGTGTTATCATCAGTTCGTTTAAGTAAACAAAGGTTGTTTAGAAGCATGGTGGCAGCGCGCGCCAAATACAAGCCGGAAGTATTGGTGGAGAACCCGACTTTTGTCAGCCAATCAGAGCGGAGTTCCTGAGCCGCCACTCCTGTGAACCAATTAGATTTAAGCAGGATGAGTGACCCTCTCAGACAAGACATGTGGAAGTTTAGCGCTACGGAGCTTCATCAATTAGCTAAAGTGACGGCATTCTTCTCATTTAGGCATTGGTCACTTTTTTGTTGATGTTTCTCATGACTTGATGCAGACAGACCTCCACAGTGCCACGATATTTCTCATTCATGTTAAACTAGACAATACTTTCTCTAAAAACAATAAATATTAATACAATAACAAGCTCAATCTAAAGTAACAGCAGCTGAGCAAAGTGTCCAAATAACTAACAGCCCAGTTTATTTCTGATTTCCCTGAAGCTTAAAGTTCAAGACTTAACCTGAGGACTGCTTTGACGTGACAAAATATTAAACTGCAGCTTATAAATTATGACTCAGTTTGACAACTCGCCTCTCTGCTGTGAAGACATGTAGACATACAACCCCTGGCAAAAAATTATGGAATCACCAGTCTTGGAGAATGTTCATTCAGTTGTTTAATTTTGTAGAAGAAAAAAAAAGCAGATCACAGACATGCCACAAAACTAAAATCATTTAAAATGGCAACTCTCTGGCTTTAAGAAACACTAAAAGAAATCAAGAAAAAAAGTCAATAACAATTGTTTTTTTTAGATGAAGCAGAGGGAAAAAATGATGGACTCACTCAATTCTGAGGAAAAAAATGATGGAATCATGAAAAACAAACAAACAAAAAACCACTACAACACACCACTAGTACTTCGTTGCACCACCTCTGGCTTTTATAACAGCTTGCAGTCTCTGAGGCATGGACTTAATGAGCGACAAACAGTACTCTTCATCAAACAAAAATTTTCTCTGATTGCTGTTGTCAGATCAGCTTTGCAGGTTGAAGCCTTGTCATGGACCATTTTCTTCAATTTCCACCACAGATTTTTAATTGGATTGAGATCCGGACTATTTGCAGGCCATGACATTGACCTTACGTGTCTTTCTTCAAGGAAAGTTTTCAGTTTTTGCTCTATGGCAAGATGCATTAGCATCATGAAAAATGATGTCATCATCCCCAAACAGCCTTTCAATAGATAGAATAAGAAAAGTCTCCAAAATTTCAATGTAAATTTGTGCATTTATTGAAGATGTAATGACTGCCATCTCCCTGGTGCCTTTACCTGACACGCAGCCCCTTATCATCATCAATGACTGCGGAAATTTGCATGTTTTCTTCAGGCAGTTGTCTTCATAAATCTCATCGGCTCTGTACAAAAAGGGTCAGAGCAGACTCCACCTGCTGCGCAGACTGAGGTCCTTCGGTGTGCAGGAAGGCCTCCTAAGGACTTTCTATGACTCGGTGGTGGCGTCAGCCATTTTTTATGGTGTGGCCTGCTGGAGCAACAGCATCACGGCAGCCGAGAGGAAGAGTCTCAACAAGCTGGTGAAGGAGGCCGGCTCCGTCCTGGGCTGCAGTCTCGATCCTGTGGAAGTGGTAGGTGACAGGAGGATGATGACAAAGCTGTCATCATACATGGACATTACCTCCCACTCTCTGCATGGGACTGTTAAAGCCCTGGAAAGTTCCATCAGTGCCAGGCTTCTTCATCCACGCTGTTCCAAAGAGAGGTACCGCAGGTCCTTCCTCCCCTCTGCTGTGAGACTCTACAACCAGCTGTGCTCCCAGTAGACCCACAACATGCAATATCCCCTATAGCTAATATACCCAAAAAGAGTATTACTCATATTGAACAATATTTATTTAAACTCCACTGGTTATTTGCACTACCTCTCAATATGTATGTATGTATATATCTACATTTGCACTTATTATTATTATTGTTATTATTACTATTAATATATATATATATATATTTTTTTGACACAGCTGACTGTGAACAACCACCATCTTTTGCAACAATCCGTGATGATTTACCTTCTTTAAGAAGTTTGATAATCTTTGTTTCAACTGACATCTCTCGTGTTGGAGCCATGATTCATGTCAGTCCACTTGGTGCAACAGCTCTCCAAGGTGTGAGCACTGCTTTTTAACTGCAGACTAATGAGTAGATTTAATCTGATGCAGGTGTTAGTTTTGGAAATGGAAATTTACAGGGTGATTCCATCATTTTTTCCTCAGAATTGAGTGATTCTATCATTTTTTCCCTCTGCTTGATCTAAAAAAGCAATTGTCATTGACTACCACAGTCTTTTTTCTTTTAGTGTTTCTTAAAGCCAGAAAGTTACCATTTTAAATGACTTTAGTTTTGTGGCACGTCTGTGATCTGCTTTTTTCCTACAAAATTAAACAACTGAATGAACATCCTCCAAGACTGGTGATTCCATAATTTTTGCCAGGGGTTGCACTAACCTGCCATCAGATCCTGGCCGAGACTGATCCGCTCTCTATGCTCTCTCAGGGTCAGTTTATAATTATAGCAATTACTAAATTTACCACACTGTTTTGCATGTCCAAATGTGCACAACTCTCTTTGGAGACGCTCATATTGATCCCGCTGCTGCCTGATGCTGCAGGTGTTCAATAAACTCAGAGAGAATAGTTCTAAATAACTGGAGGAAAGAAACATCAGCTCCTGTTAATGTCTTCAGAGGGGGAAAAAAAAGTCAGATTACATGTTTTGTTTTTGGATGGACATTGGTCCTGAAATGTGGAATAAAGCTTTCCTCTATTTATGGTGAAAAACATGTGTGAGCTACTGGATACCTTGAATTTCCCCAAGGGGATAACTATAGTATCTATGTATCTATTTATCTATATCACTTCACACAACTCAAAGTAATGGCTGAACTCATAAGCATAATACTTGAAACCCTTTTTTTTGTGGAATCCTTGATGCGGCCCAGCCTCACTCAGACTCTACCTTCAGCGGCCCCCAGGTAAGTTGAGTTTGAGACCCCTGCTCTAGCATGAAGCAGATTCTGTCATTTTCTCCTTTACTTTATGTTTGTAGAGTTTCAAGTAACTTTTGGACTCAAATCTTCTCACTAATCTGGGAGTCTCTTGGTCTCTATACCTGAAAGTCTGCTCTTATTTTTGAATGTAGACACCAACACTGAAGCCGCTGACTTCATCAATCCATCAAAATCTGTTTCTGAATCACTGTAAAATAAAATCATTCTGGTTAAAATAATGACTTTAGTTGCTGAATCTTTACTTATGTTAGATGTACGAGACCTAATTTAACAGTTTGTTGTGATCTTTGTAAGGGGAGGGCACTGCTGCTGCTGCTGCTGCCTCTGCCATGCTTCATGTTTATGGGGAACAACAAAGCAAAGCAGCAAAGCAGCAAATGACTACATATGTAAATAATACATATTTTAAATGAAATAGTACTTTTATATTTAGACTAATGGTACTTAGCTACACCTGATTTTTTTTCTACATAATTACAGCAAAAATGATCAATGTAATGGATGGAGCCTCAGAGCTCATAGTTATCCCATGTAGTTCGGAATGACTGAAAAGTCACTAGTACATATGAATATATTAATGCTAGAAATCTATTGGTATTGAGTTCCTCACATCAATGCTAATTTTAAAAATACTCATGCATTTTAGCATTCGTAATACATATTGCAGTATGCACCCTCTAACCAGCAGGGGGCACAGTAATACCTGCATGAGACAGGTCTGAGGATCAAGGTCTGAGGTGCTGCAGTTATCCCCTTTTGAAAGTGGTTGGGCTAGTTTATATTTTATCACTAAAACGTCAGCACCACTGCATGCATATGTCCTACAAGAACTACATTTTTCAAAAAATACATCACTATGAGCAGTTTACAGCACAAGGTCCACCATCTGCTCTGAATTTTATAAAGCATGGACCATTGACTCAAAGAGAACCCATGTAATACAGGAAATAAAAAGAGCCTCTTTGCATTCGTATCGGCACAAACATGCAGAAGGTTTGTTGCCCAAGGCCTTAACCCATTTAAGCCAGCTGCAATCCATTGCGTTACAGTGTCCGTATGCATTGGAGGAGAAAGCGAAATACTACATTACAATTAAAGGAGTAGAATTAAATGTTGCCTTTATTGCAGTATACGTGAAACTAGTAAATAAACCTAAAACCCTACAAGTTCAAATCAACATGCTATGTACTGATGATAGCATGTGTCAGGGTGGTTACAGGACAGCACAGATAATAAATAAATTACAACTGTACATCCCATTAAAACAATGACAGCAAGACTCAGACCCAAATTCACTGGAGATGTGCAACCAGAGGAGCCCTGGTATCCTGGTCTGAGTTGTCTTTATTACCTTAACATCACTGCAAATATTTCAGGTATCAACCAGCTGAGGTCTTAATAAATCTGGGCCTGAAAATATAATAGCACATCTTGGTCCGTCAGATCCAAACAGCAGAACCACACAGCTTCAATCAATTTCACTTTCTTTGTTGACCTTCCGCCCTGGAAATGGATGTCTGTTCTTGTGAACCTGGAGCTGAAACCAAACAACATCAATTAACAGAATAAAATATTTTCAGTTTCGGCCTTAGGTCACAATGAGATCTTATTTTGTTTAGTATGACTACTAAAACAGGCTTTCATGTTTTGTTCATGTTTGCATTGATATGTTAACATCTGCTGCATTGTTTTCTGCTGATCACATTTTATCCACTGTGATTAAACATACAGAAAATGAAGCACTTCAAACTAGGTGAATTTTGTTTTATAATCAGTGCCAATGATTGATCAGCAATACATATTTAACAACAAGGCCCAACCATACGAATATCAAGAAAAGTTGCAGTAAGGACGTACGTAGAGCAGTGACAGATGTATTTATCGTAGTATATGGGACAGAGTGTCTAACAGGAACTACAGCAATTGAAGCCTCACTTGTGTTAATAATGATTCCATAACCCACAAGACCATGCCTAGGTGATGAAAGTATTTTTCGTCTTACCTTGGTTCCCTCCAGCACATGAGGGTCTTTCTGAAGTGCATTGTTCAATGCTTCCTCTGTTGTGAATGAAACCCAGCCGAAGCCTTTGTGGAAGCCTGTTTCTTTTTCCTGGTGCAACACACAGAGTTAAACACCTCAACTGATGCAAGACTTTATCTACCTTTGTCAAAAACAAAACCAGATATCATGTTCACTCAGCTGGTTAACTCAGTATATAGAATATTATACTTTTATAACAAAACTTATGGCTGTAGCCTAAAAGGAAACATTACAGTACAAATGACTGAATAAATAGGAAAATTGTTGTCATCAGTGAGTAAATGTATCCGACTTCAGGAGTAACAATATTAATCACTGGAAGAGAAAAGAGTCATATAGGTTACAGTTACCTTGATTGTCAGGGCACATACTAAATGTGTGTACAACAAAAAACTGTTTTAAGTCTCTTTTCAGTGGCAAGTGCCTGCAGATACACATCAATGAATATCACTTAAACACTCTCCCTTCCTAAGGACATGAAAAAGATTCCTCTTATTAGTGTGGGAAGGTGGTTCTAAATAAACTATATTGGTTTTAATGGTTGGAACTCTGTGGCACAAAGGCATTGGCAGGCTTTAGGTACATGCACAATACATTTTAGCAGGATCATTTCAGTGTTGGTCTTGTTCTTTTAATGGGATTTGTTGATCAAATTTATCCTTTAATGTACAGACAACAATAACAATTAGCAACAATAAATCAGTGACGCGGAATGGAGAGAAGCTGTGTGATGCTCTGATTTGAACAACAACAACAACAACAACAAAAAGATACATACAGTACAGACAGAATCAACAAACAGTATACAAAGTGAAGTGAGTCATTCAGTCATCCTAATGTTGTGACAACTTACAAATTTCAAAAGACACTTTTTGACTGTGCCAAACTGCCCAAAGTAGTCCCGTACCTCCTCTGCAAAACAAACACAACAGATATCATCAAGATACATGAACAATACTGTTTATCATTTAAAATGCAAACACAGACTAATAATCTGACAGTCAAAGGCCATCAAGTAGCTACCTGTTAACTGTCCTGCATCTAGTCCTGCAGAGAGCCTGACCCAGGGTTTAAAATGTTCAGTCAGTGGTTGACAGTCATGCTGTTGATGGTGTCTCATGTGGTAATGCATGTTTTAAATCTATTACACAGTGAAAATTCAATTGAAGCTTGACATTTAATTTCTCTCACAAAGTAAATCACAAAATATCTAATAAATATTGCAATTAGATATTTTCCCCAAAATAATTTTGCCTTCTATCATCTTTACACTGGATGTATGATATACAGTACAAATGATTCAACAACATGTATTCTAAGGTACCAGATATTTCCTCAGGAAAAACAGAGACCTGAGGATGTTCCCCAAAATTGTCAAGGGCAAGTAACTAGCCTAAATGTGTTTCGGCTGGCCCATTAAACACTGACCATAGCTATGAATGCTAGGTTATTAAACAAAATGGGCGTCATAATGCATCATATAGACTAAAATGTAAAATTAATAATAGACGAAAAGGTGCTGGTGTGTGATTAGTTGCGAAGGACTCAACTGTTTGTAACAAGAAATGTAAACAACATTCATATATGTCTATTTGGAATGGCAATATCTCTTTATATCTCTGAGTGGATACTGCTGTTTACCTAGAAATAAAGGGAGGATTATTTCATATGAAATACACAACCAAATCCACATTCACATCATCTGTAGTGGCTCGAATAAAACATAGGCCATGGCTACTTTTATGTCCCAGTCCGTCCCTGGTACAAGCTCCACTGAGTTCAGTTTGAAGCAGTCTGCAGCGAACTAGCCTCTCTGGTATTGAGACCACATGTACAATGCGACACAGTGGAAAAGCACCCCAAACTACAGCTTTATAAGATACAGTATGGGTTGGCTAATACCCCTCTCAAACAGACTGAACACCAGCCTAACATTACTGACTGGATACGGACAGGATTTCTATATTTATTCTACTCGTTCTTGAAAGACGTGTTCCCAACACACGTTTGTTTCCTCACATGCACTAGCTGATGCTGACCTATGTGACGGCTTTAAATACACAAGAAATGAGGTGACAGTCTACATTTTCCAATTAATATTAAATATGACTGATAATCTGAAGAATTAAATGGACTTACTGCCCGCTGCAGTCCATGGTATTCTAGCCACGAACAGCTCGAAGACTTTCTTAGACGACGCCGCCATGTTTCGTCCTTGGTGTGTCACTCTGACCTGTGACACGGGATCACGTGATTGGAGCTGCTTCCTGTATGTGACGTAACTTCTTCTTCTTCTTCTTCTTCTTCTTCTTCTTCTTCTTCTTCTTCTTCTTCTTCAGTGGTTTCCGGCAGGCTGTACACGATGCAAGCGTGGCCAACATGAATCATTTACTTTATATTCTTACATAGACGTTGGTGGAGCGAAGAAATGTGACATAACATATAGGCATACACAATAAATTAAAAGAAACTTTAGAAACACTCTCGGTAAAAGCAAGTTCTTTAAAATCTAATTGTCTATGGTGTTTAAATTGACTCAGACAGTTTTTCGAAAAAGCTCCGGAAGAGATTTGAGTTGAAAGGTCAATGACGTCATGGCCAAGATGGCAGCCTCCTTGGTGGAGAACGGAGAGGATGCATTTCGAAAAGTTTTTAAGTTTTACAAGAGAAGAAACCCTCCGCCTGATCTCAGCGATGTTATTGACTTCTCCAAAAGTGTACAGAGTGACAAGGTAAAGGGAAATATCAGACGAAGCAACAGTTCACAAGAGCCACGCGATTTAGTCTGACAGTGTGTTTGTTTAACTTCGGGACTGCAATATACAACAGTGCAATATCACCTAATGTCAAATGATTTAAAGCTGTATCACCTTACAGTAACTGCATTACTTCTCAGCTGAACAGTAAAGTACTTGCTCTGATGTACAATTACAAACTAGTAGTGTAGGTTTACTATATTAAAAATACAGGATCTATATATAGAGCCTCAGTAAGTCGTATTGAAATTCACATCTTCTGTTTTTTTTTTTCAATATTTAGTATTTCCACCTTTATTTTATACAATCCATGCAATTTTTCGTCAACCCAAATCACATCAGTGTTGCCCAAATTACTTTTTTTTTTTTTTTTTAGCTGCTCTTTGCTGGAGGAGTCCTGTCCTGTAACTTTCTCTTCAAAATAACTTAGAGGTGTTGTATTAGATTTAAGTTTGGTGATATACTTGGTCAGGTCATAGTTTTCTCTACTTTAAAAACTCTTATGTGATTTTGACAGTGCAATTTGGACCATTATCATGTGGAAATATTGATCTTCTGCCAAAGCTTCTGCAGACTGGGAGTGATCTGGTCAGCCAGTATTTAGTTTCATCCACAAGCGTTCAGGCTGCATCTGTACATGTAATCTCCTCAACACCTTTTGCACTCATGTGTCCTCACATCGTCACCTGACAAAAATGTGCTCCCAATATTCATCAGGCTTCTTTTCATAGTGTTTCACAAAGTTTCATCTTCAGGTTTGTGCCAAAAAGCAAGCAAGGGTTATTTGCTTGGCCGCCATCCATAGAGGTAGATATCGTGTGCAATGTCTTAGTTGGGCACAAATCTTGTATCCTTTCCCATCTTTTTGAAGTCTCATAACCAGACTTTTCAATTCCTCTCCATGTGGAGCCATGATGCAGATAGACACCAAAACGGAAAAAAGTTCTGGTGTTCACAGGTTAAATGTCTTCCAGTGGTCACATGTTTTCCAAATTGTGTGTCTGTGATCACAGATGTATTCACTGTTTCTACTTGGGGGGCCTGTATTTTGAATAGAATCTTTCTGAAGTGTTGTTGATTGTTCATAAGAGGATATACTTGTCAACTTAAAAATACTATAATTATTGAGAGGTAATGCCATTCTACATCATTTGGGATTAAAGTAATATTGCACAAAGGTGTACTCAATTAAGTTGTATATTATAAATCTTCAATATTTCATAAACAACTCATTTATTACCTGAATGATTGTCTTGAGTTGCATTAGATTTAATTAGAAGTCTCTGTTTTTTTTTCTGTTAGGCACAAAGTAGACAACCTGAAATTGATAAAAGGGACTGACTACTAGGAAAAGCAGTGCATGTACCAGCCACTCAATAGAGCTAATGAATAATGTTTGTGTGTTAAATATACAGATAGTTCCAGCTAAACTGGACTCTGCGGCAGTGAGTGATGTAGAGGCTGCCAGGGTTGGATTAAAGCCTGTCAGAAACTGGAGAGCTTTCAGCCTGCAGGGCTACCCAGGTAAGTGTGTGACTGATGGGGGACAGTGAGAAGACTGTGACACACTCTCAGTCCAAAGTTTTGAACTAGTATTTACTTTAAGACAAAACTGACATGGAGCAAAATACAGAGGATGAAAATAAAAAGAAAACATAAAGTGAAATGTGTGTCAGAAAGATGCTGGGCCACCAGGATGCTCAGAGCAGCTGAGAATGCTTCATGTCATCAGCTGTCCAACAGTATTTGAAACTCTTACTGGATGGATAAACGCGGTCCACCATGACTTCCTGTATTTTGTCATTTCACGCTAAGTCACAGCATCTTCATTTATTACGGTGTAACATTGTACATGATGAGACTGCATAAATAACAATGGGTTTGATCTTTTCACTTTCTGTTTCTATGACTCACTACTGTCATGTACTCACCATTCAGGGTTCATCTTTATCTCCAATCCGTTTTTATGGGGTTCCCAACCATACTGGGTCCGACAGTGTCTGAAGATCTACCCACAGAAACCAAACATCTGCAACCTGGACATGCACATGTCTCCTTCGGACACAGAGGACATCTGGGGCAAGAGTGTACATGCCCTCAGGTAAGACTTTATTTCTTAAGAACAAGCAAATATTTGTGCATTTAAAACCTCAGCATTGTACAGTTTTTTACAAAAATATGAACATGCACAGTTTGTTTAGTTTTGAAAGAACAGGCACAAATGCTGCAATTCATATGGATAATTATGTGGATAATAGCTCATTTTATTACTAACAAGTTGCTGGTGCTAGATTAAAAAGGAAGTCAACCAATCAGTTCCCTTAGTTTTATCTCAGATTTTGTTTTAATATCTGATATAGTTTGAGATACACACAAAAACTGAAGAAATCAGAAACAACCCTTTATGTTACAAAAAAAATTCCATATTGTTTTGAATCACCCCAAGGAAGTATTTTCAGACTGATGCTGAAGATCTTTCATCCATCCAATGCACTAAAAGTAAAAACATTCTGTAGGAGTCGTAATAGTGTAAAAATGCAGTGCTCTTTTTTGCTTGTGACCACACATAGTGTACGCTTTTAGTGACGAGGTACCCTTTGTAAGTGTGCTCTGTATTTGATTCCTCTCTAAAGTTTTCCTCCCTCTGGAAAGCAAAAACCAAAGACCCTACTGGAGAGGCTGCGTTGGGTCACTCTTGGATATCATTACAACTGGGACACTAAGGTAAGCAACACACTCTGTGTGCTGCGTCATGAATACCAGCAAAATCTTCCCCAGCCTAAGAGTGGGAAATAGACTATAGTAGTACAAGTACGATCGTCCTCAAATTCATTCATATCCTTCCATTAAAGAAAAGGCAAAATTCACAATAGTCACTCAAATAATTAGAAACCGAAAAAAGTAATAATAAATAACAATTTGCTAAATTATAATTTACTGAAATAAGACAATGCTCTTGAATTGTGGTTGAAAAGAATAATTTTAAAAAACAAACAGAACTGTCCCAGACAAATTAGAGCACTTTGCTGATGAGCAGTGGGGCCAAAATCAAAATACCCGTCAACAGGTGCAGAAGTCTGATTGAGAGTTACAGAAAACACTTGATTGCAGTGATTGAAGGGTTGTTCAACAAAATATTAGTTTACAGGTCCCATCATGCTTGTTTGCTTGCTTGTTTGTTTGTTTTTTAATATTTCTGTTGAACCATAATTCAAAAGCAATGTCATGATTTTCATTACATTTTTATTTATTATTACTTTTGTTAATTTCAGCTTATTTCAGTGAAAGCTGTTTTTTTCCTTCTTTAATGGGAGGGTATGAATACATCTGAGGATAACTGTAGACACTAAGTTCTACACTTTATCACAGTCTTTTAAAGCCATCCTTATCTGTTCAGTGGTGCTGTCTGCCGTAAAATTACTCTTTGATTCTTAATTATGATTAATCTACCAGAATAACCATGACCTGGATGACTGAGAATCTTCACAGACATCTAAAGAGAATTGTGTTCGTTTAATTTTCCACAGCCTGTTAAAACATACAGTATGTCCTCACATGGTTTTTCTTGCCTAACAGCTCATATTTTACCTTTCTTTGATCTGTTCACAGACTTACTCTGCCAACAACTACACTCCTTTCCCAGCTGACCTCCATTTGCTGTCCCTCCAAGTAACAGCTGCCTGTGGCTTCCCAGGGTTCAACTCAGAGGCTGGAATCCTAAACTACTACCGATCAGATTCTTCTCTGGGAATCCATGTGGATGAATCTGAGCTGGATCACACTCGACCACTGCTGTCCTTCAGGTGAGAGGGGACAATAGTCCTAAAGCAAACACTGCGTTAAAGAGGACTTTCTTCTCCATATCTGGGCTTTTAAAATTTGTTTGAATGTGTCATCAGGTCAGGCTGTTAACATGGGAAAGAAAAGTGTTCATTGCCTGTTTACCTAGATAACACTGAAATCCTCTCACTGTACACTTTGTTGTCTTTTCTGATAGTTTTGGACAGTCGGCCATCTTCCTCCTGGGAGGCACCTGCAGGCAGGACCCGCCCACTGCCATGTACATGCACAGTGGGGATATGATGGTGATGTCAGGACAAAGTCGCCTCCTTTACCACGCTGTGCCACGCATCCTCCCCGCACCTCAGGGACACACTACTATAGAGGTGGAAGGCTGCAGCCTGGCTTCATCCCCACAGGATGGCGCTGTGGTGGAGCTGGTTTCTGAGGAGGACTGGGCAGTATGCTCCAGGTACATCCACAACTCCAGGGTGAATGTGACTGTCAGACAGGTGCTAGGGCCTGGGCAGAGCTTTCCAGAAACACCTTCTTCTCTGCAAAGGACTGATGCAGACCAGACAGACGGGTACCATGACGGACCGGCAGACCGAGAGCGTGTAAAGAGGAAAAGAAGCAGTGACTCTGTTGATACTGTAGAGACATGAAATACACTACTGGTGTGATGCTTACTTGGAAATGTGATGCTGCAGGGGACATTTACTAGTCTTTCTTTGAGGGGTATTTTATTGTGTTGCTTGTTTAAAGCATAAACCTAAATGTGACAAATGTCTTTCAGTAAGGCAGCGAAACAAAACTCTTAATCCTCAGGGTGGGGAGGGCGTTGTTATTGCTGATATCGATTTTTTGTAGACATCCAAAAATGACTAAAACCAATATTCTTCTTGAAATGACTGACTGAAATTTGAGGGGAAATGGAACTTTTGCACTTTGAAGCAGAAATGAAAACATCTTTGGCGTTAAAATGGTCACAGTAACTCTCTTTGTAAAAATTTTTTTGACAATGGTTCCAAACATACAGGCAGTCAAATGTTGACTCATGAGTGCAACTTCAAAATGAAAAAAATGTTACTATTGCAAGAAATAAAGATAAAAATGAAAGTATACCAGGAAAAGATGTAGTACATCCCTTCGTCTTTCACCTGATATTTTGGAGCATTTCTGTTTGTTTCATATTATTTTTTGGCTTGTCAAGCCATGGGTCGCATTAAAAAAATACAATCTACAAAGTGCTCAAGGAGCACACTCTGAAGACAGCAGTGTGCATATATTGGACAGAGAGCCAGAGCTGCACTACAAAGCGAGATCAATTTGTCAGTAAGGTATGTTGAGCTTAACGTCAGAGTTTTTAGTGTCACAAAGGTGGCCCTCTTAACCTACTATATCGTCATAGTAACTGATGTTGCAGAACCAACCTGACCCAGAGAAGGTCTATACTTGCATTTTTGAATTTAAATCTTCTATAAAAAGCATCTCTTTTTCACCCAGGAGTTTTCTAAGAATTCTTTGTGAGTGATACACATTCTCAGACATGGGAGCCATGGGTACGTTAGTAAAACCACTGAATGAAGCCGTGCAGTTACAGTATGGCACACTGTATGCATCTTGTTGCCCCAGAAACCGATATGTATTCTGCTGATGAGGCAGAAATTGCATTATTATGTTTTTATGTTTGGTCCTGATTGGCTGCCAAGTCAATTTACAATGCTGGCACAGCAGCTGATAGAACACAGATTATAAAATTGATTATTCTATTTTGGAAAAATAAATATATTAACATGTAATTCACAGTTTTCCATCACCTTCCCTGTCATTGTTTATTGCTTGCTATTATAACAACCTTGACTGAAGTAGGCGGCACTGCACAGGTCCATTTTGTGCAAAAGAAAAGTCACATGATGTGTTAAACACACCCTTTTATTTTAGCACACACAGTCTGAAGCAGAAAGTCTGTGCTAAAGAAAGTTGATGAGCATTTTTGTGATACCTGATATCTCTGATAGAGGTTTTAGGTTTTGTTGAGCTGACTTGCACAAAGAAAGTCCAGCTATGTCAAATTTGCTTTGTGGTACAGGCCTCATTTGGTATGAAAGAGGGGTGAAGGAGGTCATCTTTGTCAAAATGGAACAACCTTCAGTCAACACAGTGGGAGATCCATATCACCAGTCACCAGCCACTTTGCAGAAATTCTCACATGACAGCAAGATCTAATAAAAAGCTTATTTAATCAGGTATTCTCATTAAGATTGAAGACAGAGAACAAGAAACATTTATAATCAGACAATTGCACCAAAATATAAAAACAACACTCCTAAAGCAAGACGACAAAGACAACTATGTTAATCAAAAACAAAAAAAGATCTAAAATGACCAAGGGGAGCAAGCAAGTCGAAACGTGGTTTAGCTTGCAATTTATTGTATTAAAAATGTGCATAATAACTGAAGCACCTCTTTCTATGGTTAGTGTCTACTGACCACCTTTTCCTGACTTTGCATGTTTACCCATGATTCAAAGCATGAGTTAGGAATTTTACCTCTAGTAGGACTATCACTGCCCGAATGTATTTTATGCCATGATCACTGTTAAAACCAGCTATGAGCAGTCATGACCACAGACCTTTGGCGGATGGAAAGCACACAGTTCCATGTTCCATGACAGTCAAATAATAGCTTAGCAGGCAAAACAGTGCAGTTGATGGCAAGACTTTTCAGCCACACCAAATCACAGTTGTGATCTCAGCTGTGACACATGCAAATGCTTTTTAATTTATGGTACATGATAGGTATGCAGTTTACTGCAAACCCTGCAACAAAGGTTTCCATATATGCAGGAAAAATAAGTAAGACATTTCAGTTGGACTACACTTCCCTCCACTTCTTTGCCAACTATAAAGCTAACTATGCTAAACAAAAATGAAACTTGAGCTTGCCACCAACTGAGAGAGCAGGGCATAAACATCACTCACAAGAGAAACATTTGCTTTTAGCTTGAAACAAATATAACTGTAGAAACATTTGACATTCTCCTTGTGCCAGTACTGGATGACATGCGACCAGTGCATTTGCTGTGTCTGACAGAGATTAAATTAATTCACAGAGTTAATATCAAGGCACATATGGGAACACATTAATTTCCAAGAGTTTATTTCTTTAAAAAAAAAAAGGTAAATCCCAGTAGGATATTAGATCATTACCAAATGACTACCTTTACCATTAACCTTTTATGATCAATCTGTCATTGGTAAGGAAAGAAGACAACAATTTTAGGACAGCTTCATATATTATATTTTCTTGCTTAATTATCTTTTTTCTATTTTTTCTATTGACTGGTAAAAATCATCAGGGATTGTCCTGGTACCGCAGCACTTTAGAGATTTGTGTTTCTGCTAACAAAAAAGACCTTTAATGGTACATGAAAAGCTCATTGCTCTAAGTTACTGTAATTTGTTAGTTAAACTAAACTTTATTGGAAGATTGCATGACTCAAAAACATTGATTGAGACAGAGAAGTCCTTGAGTATATAATTAACTGATTTCCAAAAAAAAAAAAAAAGTCCTACTGGATTATAATGGTGATGCTTATTTACTAGTGGTGCAACGGATCAGAAACCCACGGTTTGGATTGTATCACAGTTTTGAGTTGCGGATCGGATCATTTTCACAGCAGCAAAAAACAACAACAACAAAAAAAAAGAAAAGACAAATGTCTCACTAACATTATTATGCTCAGACCATTTTAAAGGGTCTGAGCACCTTGAGGACCTCCTCAGCCACTTTCACATCATCATCAGACAAGGTGACAATGTCTCTGACATTTTTCTTCAGGGTCTTGTCTATCAGTGCAGAGTATATAGCTGTCTGCTGCTCAAGATAACGTTCCAACATATCATAAGTGGAGTTCCGCTTTGTTGTGACATCATGTATGAGCTTATGAGTAGCCAGCTGTAGCATTTCTTGCTTTGTCTTTAGCACTTGAGCAGCTGTTGTGCTTCACTGGAAGTAGGAAACCACCTTCCTGATCCTTCCAAGGAGGCGGTCCATCTTATTTAACATGATTCCCTTTCGGGATGCTAAATTTATTACATCTGCAAAGCACCCTATCTGTGGGCCCAGTCCTGCCTCATTCACTGCATTTATTTGTTTTTTAGCACTAGCTGTTGTGACTGGGATATTAGTATTGGGCCTCTCTATCTTCCACCCTGCCACTGCTTTTGTCAGTACTTGCGCCAGATTTGTGCCTGTGTGACAATCATAGACGGGACGTGTCTGCACCACAGGGCTTCTCATCTCCCACTTCGCTGTGATGTAGTGAGCAGTCACAGCTACATAGCTTTCCGTTGCACTGGCGGTCCACCCGTCTGTGGTGAGCACAACAGACGATGCCTGGGATAATTCAGCAACAGCTTTTGTTGGCACGATCATCTCACTGAAGTTGGTGTGTGACGGGCTCTCATAACGGGCTAAAGCACATTCAGCATATGTTTAAACCCCTTCTTTTGTGCAACAGAATATGGACTTATGTCTGCAGCTATAAATACCCCAATAGCTTTTTTTTATAGCTTTAGCCTGGCTGGATACTGCCGCTAAGGGCTGTTTAAATGCCGCGGTGATAAGTGGTTGGTGGAGCAACCTTCATCTTGGCTCCTTTCATTGACACGTCAGGGTGATGTCGCTTCAAATGGGTGGTCATGCTCAATGTATTTCCACTCTCATATGGCTTTCCCGTACCACAATGCCTACACACTGTAATGGTGTTGTCTACCACTCTTCTTCCATCATCATTGTATTTTACAGGGAAGCCAAAACGTTCCCATACATGCTACTGAAATGACACAGGAGGTTTTTCATGCTCTGCTCCTACGGAAGCCATGACTACCGCTGTACTTGACTAGAGTGGATTGAATATGCGCCTTCCACATATTTTTTCCTCGATCAACCAATCCAGGGACAACGTACATGCCGTACTGTTGAGAAAGATGCGTACGGATCCCTCTGCATGCCATACCGTGGAGAAGGATTTGTAAAGATTGGACATCAACAATGGTCTGTTGCACCACTAGTTGGGTGCACAAACAAAAATAGGCCTTGCTGATTGTGGTTGGAGGCAGGGGATTGGGTTAAGTTTTCAACCATCAAAACCTCACAGTCAGAAAAATATCCTCTGCCAAAGGATGCTGAGAAAAACACACACAGTTTTAGAGCGGACTTTAGAGCGGATGACACGCTGACCACACAGGCGATGTCCAGATACACACTGATTGATCGCGGATGCGCCTGAGTCTTTCCCAGCTGACTTGGGGCAAAAGCAGGATACAACCTGGGCAGGTCGCCAGTCAATGGCAGGGCCACACAGACAACCAAGCACACTCACATTCACACCTACGGACAATTTAGAAACACCAATTAACCCCAGCATGTCCCAGGACTGTGGCAAGAAGCCGGAGCGCCCGGTAAGTACAAATGCGTGCACAGGAAGAACATGCAAGCTCCACACAGAAGGACCCCGAGCCCCGATTCCAAACCAGGGACCTTCGAGCTGCCGATTTGATCAAAAATCAAAACACACAGACTCCCCCGGCCGAGGTTGGTAACAAGCACCTTGCGAGCTGTGAGGGGTCAGTG